ATATTTGGCCAAACAAATAAGCATGTGTATCTGATTACACTTATTTTTATTTATTTATTTATTTTTAGCTGAGCCATCCTGCTACCTGTTGGCAGCTCAGCGGCTGCTCAGCTCGGGCCAGGACTCAAACTGCTGTTGCTCAGAGCTCACACTCTTGAGCAAGCTCTTAACCAACTGAGCCACTCAGCTGGCTCTGATTACACTTATTTTTGAAAATAGTTGATTTCTATATTTCTCTGATATGTGATGAGTGGTTAATGCATTATGAGAAATTTCATTTATAATTCTAGGTATAAAGATATACAAATGTGTTTTTTGATCAAGGAATTGAGAAGTGTAGGGATATGATTTGTATTGTTTACAAAACATAAGACCAATTCCAATCCTAGTTCTATTGATAACCAGCTGTGAACAAACCTGCCATGACCTGATTTTCTTAAGTCATAAGATGAAAATCCCCCTCCATTTACCTCATAGGCTGCTATGAGGTGACAATGAATATGAAGGTTCTTTGGAAAGCACAAAAGATACTAATATTTTAAAATTAGGCAATCTGAACCTTGACTTTCTGATGCCTACCTCATCTCTTCTTGGTTATCACTCCAGAATTTCTATCTAGTTACTTTTATTTTTTGTTTCCCTATTAATAGTCTCTATTTTTTTGAGACCTCATTCTTCTGATTTCCTTCAGTTCTTTATCTAAGATTACATTTAGCTCTTTGAGCATATTTAGGGTATTTGTCTTAAAAATGATAAAAAATATAAAATACTGATGAATGAATTAAAAAAATGTGTAAAGATATACCATAATAATGGATTGGGAGACTTAAAGTTGACTGCTTTGCAGACTCAATGTGATCACAATTGAAATCCAAGTAAGGTTTTTTGAGGGGGTAAATATTGACATACTGATTATAAATTTATATGTAATGGCAAAACTAGTAAGTAAGCAAAATAATTATGAAAAGAACAGAGTATACAGGAATGAAAAGTATCTCATTTCATGACTTCCTATACACATAGTAATCAAGACAATGTAGCATTAGGGAAAAAATAGACCCATAAATCAGTGGATCAGATTATAACAGCCAGAAAACACTTCACCTTAGTGGTATTACTCTCCAAAACCTATAACCCCAGTCTAATCTTTTTTTTTTTTAAGCTGAGCCATCCTGCCACCTGTTGGCAGCTCTCAGCAGCTGCTCAGCTCAGGCTGGGAATTGAACTGCTGTTGCTCAGAGCTCAAACTCTTGAGTGAGCTCTTAACCAACTGAGCCACTTGGCTGGCCCTAACCCCAACCTAATCTTGAGACATCATCAGAACATCACAACTGAAGGACATTCTAGGAAATACGTAACCAGTACTCTCAAAACTTTCAAGGTCACCAAAAACAGGGCGAGTCAGGGAGTTTGTCACAGACCAGAAGAGATTAAGGAGACATGATAACTAAATGCAAGAAGAAGCAAGGATATTAGTGGAAAACTAATGAAATCTGAAGTTTAGAAAAGAGTATAGTACCAATCTTGGTTTCTTAGTTTCACAAATGTACCATGGTAATATAAGATCACACTGTAGGGGAAACTAAGCCAGAATTTTATTAGTTTTCTATAGCTGCTATAACAAATTACCAAAACTTGGAAGCTTAAAGAATATATATTTATTCTTTCACAGTAATCCAAAAGGCCAAATCAGTTCCCCTGGACACAATGTTTTGGAAAAGTCATGATCCCTCTATAGGCACTAAAGAAAAATACATTTCTTGACTCTTCCATTTTCTGGTGACTGTTGGCATTCCGTGGCTTGTGGTCACATCACTTCAATCTCTGGTTCCAAGGTCACGTTGCCCATACCTCTTTTATATGTGGTCAGATCTCTCTGACTCCCTCTCATAAGTACACATGGGAGTGCCTTTGACAGTGCACACAAATAATCCCAATGTCCTCAACTTACTCACATCCTTTCAGGCCCTCTTAGGTACTATTAGAAGGTTGCAGAATTTAGGATGATCTTTCTGCAGGCTATTGTTTAGACAGCCACAGGCTTACATTGAACATTCTTTATTGTTTTGAAATTTTTCTGTAATTCCAAAATAATGCTAAAACTGAACAATTATTTAAATTAATACTTAGAAATGGTTCCAAGAGGAGAATAACCACCATAAAGACAGAAGAAAATATTTGTGTTATGCTACAGTGCCCCAGAAGTACTAGCATGAGAATATTAGCATATTCAAGTACATACTTACAAATACTGAGATATTGAAGCCTCTAGTTGTATAGAGATAACAAAATTGACAAGAGTACACATTTATGTGGGTAGGTTTTGTATGGTATACAGCTCTCTGAGGGTCAAAATTAAAGCATAAAGAGTATGTACTATACTAACATATTGAATGTACATATCTTTATTATTGACAGATATTGTCATGCATATATTCTATAATGATACTTAGATTCATTTAAGTTACTTATATTTCATATGTATCAAGTAATTTTCAAATATATTCAGATACTAACCCTTTAAATAATCTCATATTTGATGTACTTTTCTGATTTACTAAATAGTATTTATTTGACATGTTACTTCCCACTTAAAGAGACATCACTTCTAAGTAAAAATTATGAGATTGTTTCAGATGATTTACTTACTTATGGGATCCTGGAAATCATTTGTGTTGGAATGCAAGCACCGAGTGAAGCTGTAGATAAAAATATTTCAATGGAGAAAGAAAGCCTCCTCAAAAAATGGTGCTGGGAGAATTGGAAAGCCATGTGTAAAAGAATGAAACTAGACTGCTATTTGTCACCATGCACCAAAATTAACTCAAAATGGATCAAAGACCTAAACATAAGACCTGAAACAAGAAACTGCATAGGAGAAAACATAGGCATTAAACTTATGGACCTTGGGTTCAAAGAGGGTTTTATGAATTTGACCTCAAAGGCAAGGGAAGTAAAAGCTAAAATAAATGAATGGGACTATATCAAACTGAAAAGCTTCTGGACAGCAAAAGAAACAATCGACATTATAAAGAGGCAACCAACCAAATGGAAAAAGATTTAGGCAAAGAACGCCTCCAATAAGGGGCTAATATCCAAAATACAGAAGGAGCTCATACAACTCAATAACAAAAAACAAAAAACCTAATTAAAAAATGAGCAGAGGAACTCAAGACATTTCTCCAAACAGATGGCCAATAGACATATGAAAAGATGCTCAACATCAGTAATCATCAGAGAAATGCAAATAAAAGCCACAAAAAGATATCACCTCACACCAGTTGGAACGGCTATCATAAACAAGACAAATAATAGCAAGTGTTGGAGAGGTTGTGGAGAAAAAGGAACCCTCACACACTGTTGGTGGGAATGCAGATTGGTGCAGCTGCTATGGAAGGCAGTGTGGAGGTTCCTAAAATAATTAAGAATAGAATTACCATAGACTCAGCAATCCCTCTCCTGGGTACCCCAAAAATCTGAAAACATTTATCTGTAAAGATTTATGTGTTCCAATGTTCATTGCAGCTTTATTTATGGTAGCCAAGACATGGAAACAACCAAAATGTCCCTTGAGAGGTGATTGGATAAAGATGTGATATATATACACAATGGAATACTACTCTGCCATAAGAAAAGATGAAATAGTACTATTTGCAACACGAATGGGTCTTGACATTATTATGCTAAGCGAAATAGGTCAGACAGAAAAAGTCGAGAACCATATGATTTCACTGATATGATGGATATAAAACTGAAAGCAGCAAAGAAACAAGAGAAACAAAAACTCATAGACACAGACAGTAGTTTAGTGGTTACCAGAGAGTAAGGGAGGATGGTGGTGAAAGATGAGGGTAAACGAGGTCAAATATGTGGTGATGGAAAGAAAACTGACTCTGGGGATAAACACACAATGTGGTATATAGATGATGTATTACAGAATTGTACACTTGAAACCTATGTAATTTTACTGACCATTGTCACCCCAATAAATTTTAATTAAAAAAATATTTCAGCAAAGCATAAAATTAGCTGTGCTTCTAGAAATGCAGTAGACATCTATCTAGAAGGTTTATATTATGAATGATACACTATAATAATCAGTTATTTAAAGATTCAACATATCTATACAATTGAACTCAAAGCTTAATTATTTTATGTATTTATTTCAGAAATATTTATTGATTATCTAATATGAAATAGAGATTCATTTAGTTACTGTGGGTCATGTTGTAAACAAAACAGATAAAGCCAGTGCTTTCGGGGAATCTAAATTCGGGCTGGGGAAGACAGAGAATAAATAATTGAACAAATAAATACACAATAGGTGATGGTTCATTAAGTCTATAGAATAACACAGAATGAATAACAGTGTGGATGAAAATAAACAGTTACTATTTTACAAAGGTGGTCAGGAAAGAAATCTATAAAAGAGTAACATTTAAGCATAAACCTTAATGGAGTAAGAGAACATTCCACACAAAGAGGAGCAAGTACAAGTCAGGAACATGTTGTCAGATTGTAAAAAAAATAGGAAGAAAATCAGTGTGAATGAAGTAAGGTGAAAGTATGAGGGAGCAACAAAAGATCATTTAAGTCAACAAAAGTAAACATGTAATATCAGCATTAATGATTTCAAAGCATTTCCAGAAGCAAAATGTAGAACATTATTGGTTTCTACTCCAATAATTAGGTTTCCTCATGGGGCACGCATGCACCTTGTTCATGGTCTGACCTGTGGCCCTATTTTGTGTGTATTTGCACTATGATGGTAGAAAAATTGCATGTTATAATAAGTGCATAAACCAATATCCTTAATAAGATTTTTGACAAGTGGGCCCCAAGACATCTTAGCATTCTTGTTCAGGTATTACTTTTTGGGACACAATGTTTACTTTTTCAGGATGAGAATCTTTAGAATAGGCAAGGATATCACTTCAGAAACTTAATTTCACTGTGGCCTTAATGAAACTAGGTTACTGCACCTTGTACAATGTTAAAAATCATAATCCCAGGGATAATTTTGCCTCCAAAGCAACCTTCATGAGAGCCCTCTTGACCTCCTTGTTCCTCAGGCTGTAGACCATAGGGTTCAACATGGGGATGATCATAGCATAAAACACAGAGGTTATTTTGTCTGTGTCCATGGAATGGCTGGAGCTGGGTTGTAGGTACATGAAGATAGCAGTTCCATAGAAGATGGAGACTGCAGTGAGGTGGGAGGCACAAGTGGATAGAGCCTTCTGATATCCTGCAGATGAGTGCATCTTTAGGATGGTGAGAAATATAAATGTGTAGGATATCAAAATAACCAGAAGAGCAAAAAAGATATTGAAGCCCACTACATAAACAAGAACCAGCTCACTAACATGTCTACCAGAGCAAGACAGAACCATGACTGCTGGAATATCACAGAAAAAGTGATGCACCAGATTGGACTCACAGAAAGAGAGAGTGAAAGTGTCCCCGGTGTGGATGGAGGCATTCAGGAAACCACAGACATAGCAGCCTATGGCTAGTCGTACACACATACTTGTCGTCATGGTGGTGGTGTAGTGCAGGGGTTTGCACACTGCTGCATAGCGATCATAGGCCATTGAGGCCAAGAGGAAACTTTCCACAGTGGCAAAAGCTGCAAAAAAGAACATCTGAGCAGCACATGCATTGTAGGAGATGACCTTGTCTCCCATAAGGAAGCCAGCCATGACCTTGGGAGTGACAGCTGAGGAGTAACCAAAGTCCACCAGAGACAGGTTACTGAGGAAAAAGTACATGGGAGTGTGGAGACGAGAGTCCAGCAGGATCAACACGATCATCCCCAGGTTCCCAACCAGAGTGATGAGGTAAATGAGGGTAAATATTACAAAGAGGGGGACCTGCAGGTCTGGGTCATTGGTTAGTCCGAGGAGGATGAACTCTGTCACTTCTGTACTATTCTTCATCAATGCTGAGCATCACAAAATGCTCCCTGGCTATGAGGAGAAACACAGTGATAAACAAAGAAACTTGAAAAGTGTACATTCAGTA